AAATGCAATTTTATGTAAATTTCCCAAGCCTGATTTAACAGGAAGTCTTTGAGGTGTATTTCTGCCTGGTGTAAGACTGTCAGTGGAAAACATTTTTCACCAAAGCAATGTAGTGGTTGTTGCAGTTAGCATCTATATCAAAAAAAAAACAAACAACTGAACACTATTTCTGTAAATAAAAGTGACAGGGATTAATTAATGATGAGGAACTTTATTAGTGCCTTATTTCGTTTCACCATTCCATAAATTTGCCCCATCTCTTATGCAGTAAATTATCCTTCCCAGAAAAGTTTCTGTCAGGATTCTGTGATTATCTCTACCTTCCTCAGTCACTTCGAGTCGTACTGAAAACAACGGTGGATTCAGAACTGTGGTCTGAGCATCTTTAGTGGCAAAAGCAGTTTACGTTTAAGGTAATCTCAGCCCTCTGAACGAGTGAAAAGGTTCATTTCAAACCTCTTTTCCTAGGTAACATTGACTAACACAAGATCCTACTACGCTCTGAAAACATTTTCTTTGTGATTTGACAATTAGGAGACTGAGAGACTGTGACAATACAAGAAAAGGCAGTTTGAATGATAACTCTACAGTTTCACAAGCTTATTGGAATACCAAAAGATAGAAATTGTGGGTTTTCACTAACATAAAATTTCTTCCAGGTCTTAAAGTGATTCAAATTACACTGTATTACCATTACTATTTACTAAACCAGCTGAAACTGTTGCCCTGGGCTCAAATGTAGAGTAAAATATAATAGAGTTTGGAGTGCATTCCAAACCTGTATGAAAAGCCAGGCTTTCATACTGAAGTATCAAAACAGTAACTACTGTGTTTAAGAAAATGCAGTTGAATACAAAACATTTATTCTTTTTGGCAAATACTGAAAATGAAGGGGGGCGGTGTGTTTGTGTTTGTTTTTTTTTTACAGAAAGTGAACAGAAAACTGAGTGTAAAGACCTGTGAAGTTCCAAAAACGTGAAATTCAGCAATGATACACTGTGGAAAGAAACGTATTTGTGCTGTTGCCACGTGTATTCTTATTTTTGCAACTGGTTTAATCTCCTACTGGAAAGATCCTCAGCTACAGAATAACATCGCCAGAAATATCTTCCCCCAGGCAACAACAGCCAGTCCAGCAGGCCAGCTTTGTAGGGGTAAACCTGCTCAAGGTGTTATAACACCATTAACAGATAACAGAACTTTTATTATATCCCCATACTTTGACAACAGAGAAGGCAAAGTCACTCGTGTGATCGGGATTGTTCACCATGAGGATGTAAAAGAACTGTTCTGCTGGTTCTGCTGTCAGCCCGATGGAAAGATCTATGTATTAAAAGCAACAATCGATGTTCACTCAGATAGGTTTGGGTTCCCTTACGGAGCAGCAGATATAGTTTGTTTGGAACCTGAAAACTGCGACCCAACGCATGTATCCATTCACCAGTCTCCACTTGGAAATATTGACCAGCTGCCAAGCTTTGAGATCAAAAACCGCAAGGCTGAGCCCTTCCCTGTTGACTTCACTGTGTGCATCTCTACCATGTTTGGCCACTACAACAATGTCTTGCAGTTTATACAGAGCATGGAGATGTACAAGATTCTCGGGGTACAGAAAGTGGTGGTCTATAAGAACAACTGCAGCCACCTGATGGAGAAAGTCTTGAGGTTATATATGGAGGAAGGAACTGTAGAGATAATTCCCTGGCCAATAAACTCACACCTCAAGGTTTCTTCTAAATGGCACTTTTCTATGGATGGGAAAGACATTGGCTACTATGGACAAATCACAGCTCTAAATGACTGTATATACCGTAATATGCAGAGGAGCAGGTTTGTGGTTCTTACTGATGCTGATGAAATAATTCTTCCCCTTAAGCACCCAGACTGGAAAACCATGATGAGCAGCCTGCAGAAACAGAACCCAGGGACTGCTGTTTTCCTCTTTGAGAACCATATCTTCCCAGAATCCGTCTCCACTCCCATGTTCAACATCTCATCCTGGAATACTGTGCCGGGTGTTAACATATTAGACCATGTTCACAGGGAGCCTGACAGAAAAGAAGTTTTCAATCCCAGGAAAATGATAGTTGATCCACGAAAAGTGATTCAGACTTCTGTCCACTCTGTCCTCCATGCTTATGGGAACAGTGTGAATGTTCCCATGGATGTTGCCCTCATTTATCACTGTCGGAAGCCCCTTCAAGCAAACCTTCCCAGAGAATCCCTCATCAGAGATACAACACTGTGGAGATACAACTCATCATTAATTACGAATGTTAACAAGGTTCTACATCAAACTGTACTGAAAGCTCAAAAGTGAAACCTCAGTTATAAGGAGGGAACGTGAAGAGCTGCCTGTGTCGTGGGGAGGCAGGGGAGATCATTTGAAAATCATAAAATGAAATTCACTTCCACGTGAAGTTTAGACCTCACAGAGGTTTAGGAGAACATCCCTGCTACATACTATACAAAGGTAAATGCTTTTGATTTGTGAACTGAATCAAGGTATCGAGGGAAGAGATTTTCAAAACTGAAAAAATCATTTGATCCAAGGATGGTTGAGGCCTCAGCCCACTACTTTTCAGTCCAGTTTTGTGGGGATGCTTGCACATGGTTGGGAAGGGCCTGATAACATTGTTGTTCCATCAGTGTGACATATGTCATAGCAGGGATACATCCTTCTGGAGATACACATCTTTGGCTCTGAAACTTAACTGTGTTGGGTTGCTGCAACTTTTAAGTGCAGCAATGAAATTTAAAGGTGTTGCAGTAGGTATTTAATGCCATGTTCTCTCCAACAATAAATGCACTGTGTATTTAAGATGATTGATTACTCACAGGAAGAAAGGTCTGTAACGTACGGCCACCACCAGAGAAAGTCCCATCCTCATACAGGGTCTTATATGAATGTATTTTGTTGTAGGAATGATTCAACTACCAATTGCTGTCTCTAAAAAGTAAAAGTACCGGTGTCAACGACTGGGTTTATCACCTTCAACTGTCAAATTTTCCTTTGCTTTTTCACAAGTGATTCCCTGGAGCTCGCTTCAGCTTTTCCATTTCACATAAGTTAGCGAGGAGAAGTGACCGGAGCCCTCCTCCTCCCCTCTCCCTGTGCACTCGCGCTCCCTGTGCTGCTCATCCCATGCGGGGCGGTCCACGGCGCTGCGCGGGGCATCCCCCATAAACGCATCGGGGAACCCTCGACGGCGGCGAGAGCGACCGGCACCAGGGCTGCGCTGCCGGGTGACCCGCACCGTGCGCGCCGTGCCCCGGTGCGCAAGCGGCAGTCCCGCCCCGGCAGGGGAGGGGCCCGCGGGGTCAGCGGGGCTGGCAAAGCATGGGGTGAGGGGGCCCTGGTGTGCGGTGCTGCCCCAGTGTCCCCCCCCCAGCCGATCCCGCAGGATGGAGGACGCGGGGAGCAGCGGGACATGAGGCACATCCGTGTGGTCGCACCGCGGAGGGTGTCGGGCTGCGGCTCCTCAGGATCCGGTGACCGGCATCGCTCCCAATAGAGGCTCGGCGGGCTCGGAACCTTATTTCTGCTCCAGAAGTAACAAATCAGATGGTGCTCAGCTGTAGCGTTGTTTTTGGGTACTGATGCTTAACGGTAAGTTAAAGGTGTACGTTAATTGCGCAACACAAGTTTTTGAAGTCTCACCCTCCAAACCTGGAGTTTAATTTTAGATTTAAAGAATGTGTACTTCCTCACAAGAGCGGTTTCAGCCTGTGTTGTAGGCAGCGAAGCATCACACAGCTGTTCACTCACTGCCTCCGTCCTCCACCCCCAGCAGGATGGGGAAGAATGTCGGAAAGGCAAAAGTGAGACAACTTGTGGGTTGACATTATTTAAGAGGTAAAGCAAAGCTGCATGGACAAGCAAAGCAAGATAACGAATTTACTGCTTCCCATCGGTAGGGTTTTAGCCATTTCCAGGAAAGCAGGGCTCCATCACAGAACAATGATTTGGGAAGACAGATGCTATAATGCTGCATATCTCTCCCTTCCTCCTTCTTCCCCCAGCTTTAACTGCTGCCACAGCATCTGGAACAGGCCTTTAGTTAGGCTGGTTCAGCAGTCCCGGCTGTGTCCCCTGCAGACTTGTGCTGCCTTATGCCTGGGAAAGGGAGGAGGGAACAGTATGAGAAACAGAGGTGGCCATGACAGTGTAAGTAAGCACTGTTCAACGTCAGCTCAGACATCAGTGTGTTCAAAATTTGGTCACAAATCTAAAACACAGCCCCTTACAACCTGATAAGAAGAAGATTAACTGTGTCCCAGCTAAAACAAGTGTAATGTGAAAGACACACAGCTGAAAGAACAATCTTAAACGTCATGCCTGAGCAGTTGCTCCTCAAAGGACACAATGTCTGATTGTTTACAATAGCAGAAACTTGCCTAGGGGATGTACAGTGGATTATAGTGGAGAAGTTTATGACTGTACAGGAAAATGTGTGGTTTGTCAGTTCCAAGGGCACAAATTAAGTAGATGGCAACAGTATCTGGCTTCCCTTCTTGTGTTTAGAATAGAAAGGGTCAGCTTAAACTTTTTTTGGAGCAATATTTTAGGAATAGTGGGATAATACTGCACTCAGCTTAATAGCATCTGACTTTGGGTTGTATGAGAGAGGAAGGACGCTGGTGTTTCAGAGAGTGTACCTGGAAAAAAGATTAGCTTCCAAAAGATTAGCAACAGACAATCTAGTAAAGATGGTAAATGATTGCTAGTCTTTGGAATTTCTTATTTAGTTAGCAGTTTGTTACTTTTGGTGAAAAATGTAAACCAGAGGATAGAGAATAACTTGTTTCCAAAAATAAGAAATTAATAAGGCTATTTGTTAATGGTGACTTTTTAGTTAGGGCCTGGATAAACCAAGGATTAGGCTGTTTCTTCTTTGTATACTCTTGAATCTAATACTAGATACTAGGGACTGAAACTTTGCAGTCACGTCCTCTCCAATTGTGCCCCATCCTCACCCTAGGTAGGGAGATAACTGAGAGTTACCAAAAATCAGACTCAATGTAGGCATTGCAAAGATACTGAAATGAGCAGCACAGAAGGTCTTCAGCTGTCTCAGTGCAAAGAAAGCAAATGACAAAGGAAGGCCACAATGCAGAGAGCATGTGAGGGAGATTAGACCTTGGAGTGGCTCTTGAGCTAAATTAGCACTTTGTTCCACCTTAAGGACAGTTCTAATTGTGGATGGTTAAGGGAAGATGATGGAAACTAAAGTTTGAAAATAGAAGTTGTACAGCAGAGGTAAAAACAATATTCCAATTGGAAGGTGATACTGAATAATTTCCATTCCAAAATTCTAAGACACACAAGCTATCAAAGAACCTACAATGGGTGTTTAATAAATGTTCATGAGCATAGTGGTGCAATGTGGCAAAAGAAAGGATGAGTGGTTCCTTGGTTTAGGGAGGGGAAAACCCATGATTTAGATATATACAAGTTTTTAAGTACAGTCTTGGTCACACACAAGGTTTTGGAATGGGTTGTAGAAGGACTATGGCAAAAGAAATGAGAAGTGTGATTAATTTGAGCAACCTGATCTACTGAAAGGTGTCCCTGCCCACAGCAGGGGCTGGAACTTGGTGATCTTTAAAAGTCCTGTCCAACCCAAACCATTCTGTGACTCTGTGATTCTAACTGGGGCAAGAGATCTTCATTAGTATGACCTTGCCAATGAAGAAAACACATTGTGTAACTGCACCCAGCTGAAAGACTGGCTAGATGTGTTGATCCTTGGCTGATGACAAGATTACATCTATCTGTGCAGTGTGATGCATCTGCAAAAAAATATAATCCTAACATGTGTTGAGAAATAATGTTTCCAGCAATGATAAGGGCTTGTCGCTGTCACGTACAGATGGACAAGGAACAGAGATTTCTGGTCTCCTGTGCTAGAGGTTAATTGAAACTGGGCCAACAGCACAGAAGCAGCTGTGCAAAGAGTGGTTCTTAAGAAATGGTATTAGAACTGCCTGTCTCATTTAATGGAAAAGTAGGAGGTGATCTGACTGCAGTCCGTAAATGCACTAGGGAGGAAGAAAGGCTCTTTACTATTAAAGGGAATACTGAAAAAGAACAAACTGGTGCCAGGTAGCCACTGATGCCATTAGCTAAATTGACTGTTAAAACAAAGCTCTGTAATTTAGACCATGTTCTGTCTGAATAGTAATTGGGATTAAAAGACGCAAAACCAGAATGAATTATTGTTGTTATTCTCATTATAAAATAAACCCTTCTAAAGATGCTGGAAACATATTTTTTTGAAGTTAAAACTTGCCAAGTACTCTCCATAGTGAGGAAACACAAATGTAATGTTCCTAATTAATCTGACTTTATATCTGACTACACATCTGTGCTGTTAATTTCAAGGGACAAAATTCATGGGTCACATGTTGGGAAAACCATTAATTTCACTCAAATAATTACATGCTTCTTTAAGATTCTGTGTTCTGCTGTGTCTTGAGTTCTGTATTTTGCTCTTTCTGCTTCTAGAATCTTCTGTTGTTTCAGATATCTCTCATACTTACTCATCTGTATCTACCTATTTTAATTAGGCTTGTAGTATGTTACTAAAGAAATGATTGCCCAAGAAGCACTGATATGTAGTACATTTTTCTAGTTCTCTTGAAGTATGTGTGTGAACTGTGGCTATGTCAACACGCAGCATTCAATCCCAGAAGATTAAGTAGCCTGAAAAAAAGTCCCCCAAGTGCTTAGGTTTGATTTGCTTCAACAACCCCACACTCAAGTTTGTAATTTATAAGTTAATGGGAGGCAACTGTGCTTTACACAAGAGAAGGAGAACTTGTTTTCCCAGTAGGTGTGGCAGCTGTTACTGATATTAAAGAACACCAAGCATGGAAATGAAATGTATCGGCAAGGTATCGTACCAGCAGTTTTTGCTTCAGTGTTCTTCTGAATTGAATGACTCTTGCAGTTTCTCTTAAAAACATTGAAGTTTTTGCCTGGTTACAATAAACAATCTATAGATCATACCTTAGCAAAAAATAAATGGAGGACTGAACAGAGCTTCACTCGTCTATCTGCTTTAAAAGGTACTTTTTCCATACTGATGTTCACTGCTCAAAACACTGTTGAAAAGATATAATTTTAATTGTTTGTTATTTATAGCTAGCAAAAGCAGAAGAAACAACAGGTAATAAATGAAATTGTATTATTTAATGTTGATAATGAATGATAATTCTCTAGTAAAAACTATTTACAAGACTGAACAATATTTTTAAATCATAAATAGGTAAGACCGAGATAAAAATGTTGAATATGACCTACTCTGTGCTGTAAGAATGGTGGGAATGAGAATGTTCAGGGGAAACATTTTGTTTAATGAAACCATTCATGTTTAATGAAAGGACTTAGAAAATTGAAGTTGTTCTCAGTCACAGATCTCAAGCAGAAAGTTGTGTGACAATGTCAGGCTCTTACCCTGTATCTGCAGTTCTGCTCTAAATTGTAAGGACTTATTGGGGGGATACTTTAGATGAGTCAGTGCTGGCAGCTCTGCTTTGTGTCTAGTGTGATGTAGTGAGATTTCTGGTGTAAAGCAATTGCTTGGTGGCTGGGAAAGCCTGCTATAAATCGCATCAGCTTTGGCAAACGGGGCATTTTAGCAAGTACGTTATGACAATAGTTCTCCTTTTTCAGGAAAGAGCAGTTGTGACAAGACTGCACAGTTTTCTGAAGGCATGAGCTGTTGGTTTTTTGCCTAAATTCAGTTGAGATTCAGAAGATTGCTGTCTAGAAGCAAGGTTTTACCGGTTGGAAAAAACTGTGTTTAAGCAGAACACGAGACCCCAGGAGAACTTTTCAACCCAAGTAGTGAAGTGCCGAGGAATTCAGGTACCTCCGAAGTTATGAAGCTGCCAAGTATGATATCTGGATCATAACTATCGGTTGAGGTTATTTCTAGTTTTCTACCTGTCTTTGAAAATGCTAGTTTCCTGTTCCATCGCAAAACTATGTTGAGACAGAGGCTCTTAAAAGAGCTTTACACAATGTGTGAAATGGGGGGGGGATCAGATTTAGTTATTATTTTAGAATAGACTAATATGCTTTGGAAAAAACATTGTTAGACATTATTTATCATGTGCATGCTCCCTGAAGATGCTTAGATTAATAAGTATTTAAGCAAGTGATTTTATTAAGTCTTGAGAAGGGAAAGGACAAGAAATATGTGAAACTTCCAGTACCTGCCTCACCTATGACATTACTACCTGTTCTAGCTATAAAATATAAACCTAGAAATCTGGGCCTTTTAATGGTATGATTTATTTTCTTCTCAGGAGCTGGCATTACGCAGTAGTGATATGTCTATTAGAAACATTTCCTTCATCTTGTGCAGTCGAATCAGTTTATGGTGTCTTGGCATTCTACCCTACATTTCTTGCTGGCTGTCTGGACTACTCTTTTCTACCAGTCCAGTTTTCTGATCTAACATGCATCTGATTAATCTGGGGCATTCTTCTTGCAAGAATCTCTGTGGTACAAGCAGGCCTTTGAAGAGACTTGCTGTCACCTAATGGATCATATCTGGATGCCTAAAGATTAATTTGATGGGGAAACTTCAATTTGGGCCTCATTTACACAAGTGACTGCTTGAAATTGCCAAGAGCTCCCTGTCAGGCATCAAAGCTTGGCAGCATGAGTGCCCCTAAATGCTTTGGCCAGTTTCTGGGAGGCATCCAGTACTTGGGTTCCTGCAGCAGCAAGAGTTTAGCGCCTGACCCTCAAGCCATGCCAGGATCTGAGCCAGCACTAGTGCAGTGTGAGGAGGCCCAGATTTCTAGCAAGCACAATATGGGGTGACATATTCCTGCCTTGTACAGTGCGGAGTAGGGTAGAGCTAATAACTAAGAAGTCTTACACCTGTATAGGTTTCACCTGTCTCCTGCTGAATTGTATGAATTGACCTTCCTCTGTATATACTGGCTCATCTGTGGTGAGCTGCAAGTTAAGGAATTTATGCATTAGCAATTGTATCTGGACCGTCATGTGCAATCCCCAGTTACTTTGTTTTTAAGGAACTCAGCTAATTCTGTATACATTTAATTTTTGTGTCTGCCCCTAACTTTTCTGTGAGAAGTCTGTTCAGGGTTTTTTTTTCCTGTATAATTTACATTTACACCATGGGGAGGGAGGGGGAGGGAGAAAGCTTTTCTTCTGTTTAAACATTACATTATAGAATATTAGAATATAATGAATAATGCCTCCTTGTTCTCCTGTATACAGACCTGAGTCATACTCTTTCACAGACTCCTCCACGTACAGAAACCATTCCGCACATCGACATACAGAGGCATTCAGTGTTACATACACTGTGGTGCAACCCAATGAAGGTGTGTTCTGGGATTGATTTACATGAAAGCCCAGTAACTGGGTCTCTGATGAAGTCAGTGCACAATGCTAGAGATTTGCCCCACATCTTGTTTGTGAAGTTCTTGAGCAATGATCACAAGTCCATCTGATCTCATGCCACCTATTTTCTTTTCTACAGATGCGGCAGCATAAAGTGCAAGGACAAAGAAATGTGCATCCACATTTAGTTACATTCAGAATGTTGTGTGGTGGGAGAAAATCTTACTTCGCTGCTACTGTGTGCATTGTTACTCTAACTTCAATGATCACACTTTCTTATCTTAGGTTACAGAGACCTTCTCACCTGCCAAAAATAATTTATGAAGTTAGCAAATGTAGAAGGGAAATTGCCAATAGCACAATAACACCATTAACAGATAACAGAACTTTTATTATATCCCCATACTTTGACAACAGAAAAGGCAAAGTCACTCGTGTGATCGGGATTGTTCACCATGAGGATGTAAAAGAACTGTTCTGCTGGTTCTGCTGTCAGCCCGATGGAAAGATCTATGTATCAAAAGCAACAATCGATGTTCACTCAGATAGGTTTGGGTTCCCTTACGGAGCAGCAGATATAGTTTGTTTGGAACCTGAAAACTGCGACCCAACGCATGTATCCATTCACCAGTCTCCACTTGGAAATATTGACCAGCTGCCAAGCTTTGAGATCAAAAACCGCAAGGCTGAGCCCTTCCCTGTTGACTTCACTGTGTGCATCTCTACCATGTTTGGCCACTACAACAATGTCTTGCAGTTTATACAGAGCATGGAGATGTACAAGATTCTCGGGGTACAGAAAGTGGTGGTCTATAAGAACAACTGCAGCCACCTGATGGAGAAAGTCTTGAGGTTATATATGGAGGAAGGAACTGTAGAGATAATTCCCTGGCCAATAAACTCACACCTCAAGGTTTCTTCTGAATGGCACTTTTCTATGGATGGGAAAGACATTGGGTATTATGGACAAATCACAGCTCTAAATGACTGTATATACCATAATATGCAGAGGAGCAGGTTTGTGGTTCTTACTGATGCTGATGAAATAATTCTTCCCCTTAAGCACCCAGACTGGAAAACCATGATGAGCAGCCTGCAGGAACAGAACCCAGGGACTGCTGTTTTCCTCTTTGAGAACCATATCTTCCCAGAGTCCGTCTCCACTCCCATGTTCAACATCTCATCCTGGAATACTGTGCCGGGTGTTAACATATTAGACCATGTTCACAGGGAGCCTGACAGGAAAGATGTTATAAATCCCAGGAAAATGATAGTTGATCCACGAAAAGTGATTCAGACTTCTGTCCACTCTGTCCTCCATGCTTATGGGAACAGTGTGAATGTTCCCATGGATGTTGCCCTCATTTATCACTGTCGGAAGCCCCTTCAAGCAAACCTTCCCAGAGAATCCCTCATCAGAGATACAACACTGTGGAGATACAACTCATCATTAATTAGGAATGTTAACAGGGTTCTACATCAAACTGTACTGAAAGCTCAAAAGTGAAACCTCAGTTATAAAGAGGGAAGGTGAAGAGCTGCCTGTGTCATGGGGAGGCAGAGGATATCATAAAATAGAAATCACTTCCATATGAAGTTTAAATCTTACAGAGATTTAGACTAACAGCCTTTTAATGTGTTGTAGGTAAATGCATTTGATTTTTGAACTGTGGCATGGTACCTTGTAAGAGTCCACAGTGATCAAATGCTGACTAATGATTTAAGTTCCTCAGGTAAAGTCTCTACTGCAACCTTTTAAGATGTGAGAGATGAGGCATAGTGAGAGGATAGCTCTTTTGTATGCCTGTAACTGTGAAAGGGCATTATTCCAGCCATAGGAAGTGTCCATGCAGAAATTTGAAATTTAATTTACCAATTTCCAGCTTTCTCTCTTTTCCTGTTCCTATCCTCATGCGTTTTAACTTGTACCATGAACTGTAAACTTCCTGAAGAAGGAATTAATTGAGTTTTGGTTATTTGTCTCTGAAGGACTTGGTGGTTAACAATATACAGCTGTGTTTAATGGTGCCTTTTAAAAGATGGCTTGGGACAGCATCTCCCAGGTGAAGAGCATTAACACTCTAACCCATTATAATCACAAAGGCAGGGTAAGCAAACCCACCACCTATAGCACTGGAGCTGTCACTTGTTAGAGGTATTTCTTCTTAAGGGAAATGAGAATTCATAGCAGAGCCATAAGTCATTTCATGAAACCAAGCATCAATGCAGATGGTATTCCTTCTGGAAAATGTAAAATGAGGTTATTTTCACTAAGGAAAAATAAAAATCAGTATTTCTCAACTGATTCAAATAATGCAAAAGGCTGTGCAGAGTTTTCAACCAGTGTACAAAAGATAACCACTATGGTCCTTAGTATTAATGTTGTTTAATTCTTGCAGTTTGTATGTCACTGTTCGGGTACAAAATTTCTATGTGCCCAGTTGAGTAAGAGGCAAACTAATAAATTGTGAAAATAATTGAGCACAATCTACCAGTTTCAATTGTAAAAAAGGAACCTTTTATATTCTTGTAACAAGTGTTTGTTCAAGTGGTGATGTATCATAACACTAAGCATAGCTGTTGCAGTTTTGCCGATCCAAATGGCTGCTCAGCTGGGGCTTTGACACATGTGATTTTAAGAAGAATGGTGATCCCTCTTGTTGCCCACAGCTGTTGTGAATTCCTTAAGTGATAAGTGCTGAGTTGTGCTGGAAAGCTTTAAAACAGAGGCAGGGGGTACACGTTAATGTTGAAGAAACTGTGAACTGAAAAGGTGGCTGTTTCCGGGTGGAAAGATGGATGGATGAACAACTACTTATAACAGTTGTTTTCTTTTTCTGTGACCTTGAAGCCTCCTAACAAACTGCTGCTTCATGGAAATTAGACACCAGGTGGATTTTAGACCTTCGCGTGATGGGTAAGTTAAATTATATTGTTTCCTTATGTAGGTGTAAGGGTACAGAAACTGCATCTTTTCCAACCCTTATCTAAAAACAGTGCCAAATAGTTACTAACTTCTGCCAAACGGTCATAAGGACAGAAAAGCAAACAAAACCCATGTGTTCACTGTGGTTTCACAAGTTCAGTTTCTGTTTTTTAAATGCTATGTGCATTGTACTGATGGTGTAATGTATTAGAACATTCCTATGAGGGGACGTCTGGGGGCAGTTGTAGTCTGATACTGATATGTGACAAATGTGCGTGAGAGCAGCTGTGCTTGGTTTAATTTCGACACCAATGTCATGTTTTGAGTTGTTTTGAGCTGTCATTAGTGGGTTAGTATCATTAGCTTGCAAATGTCCAGGGGAACTTTCACTTGGAAGTCTTCAAGAGACAATCTGTAAATAACTGTTTGCTAATTGTGTTTACAACAATCATCAGCTGCTATGTAACAGGCTACAACTTCATTTGTAAAGCTAAAGGGGTAGAAGAGCAATGTTGTGTGGATTGGATGCTTCTCATCATGGTTTTCTGCTTGTATCCTCTGGATAATGCTTCCCCCCTATGCCTACTACCACTTTCCCTTCCCACCATTCTCTCTGGAAAGTTGAATTCAGCTCTCAGATGCTTTGTGCTCTGCCTCTCATGGGACTTCCTTGTGTGTGTCAGTGTTTGGTACTGGGCAACTGAACATTGGACTTGGGTGTGGCTTTGAGCACAGAGGTGAAGAATCCCTTCTCTTTGGCGTCTAGCTATCTACGTGTTAGTACAGCTCAGTGTAGTTGGCCACCTTTGCCACAAGGGCATATTGCTAAATTTGTTGTGCAATAGCATTCCCAGGTCCTTTCCTGTAGAGCTGGTTTCCCTCTAGTTGGCTCCAACGTGCCTGTTGTGTGGGATGTCTGTGTCTCGGGTGAAGGAGTTGCTTTGGCTAAACTTCATGAGATGTCTGTCAGCCTACTTGTCCAGTTTGTTGAGAAGCTTGGAATTAGGATTCCCTGATCTCTTGCATATTGATCGCTTGCCCTTCCCATGGTTTCCCCTTCCCCTCCAAATAAATCAGTATTGTTGGAAACTTGCTGAGAGACTGCATCATAAAGGTCACTATTAAATTAATCAGTTCTAGCCCCTAAAGAACACTTCCAGTAAGTGGTTTGCAGTGTTTTACAGGTGGTCCATCATCACATGGCTCCTTTAGAGTTAACTGAGTTACAGCCCCCATCATACACAGTATAGTTACACCCACATTAAGAATGAGAACTGAGTTTCAAGGAAAGTTATCGAAGCTGTTTCATGTAAGCTTTCACTTTCCACTGAGAAAACAAAGCTCATTAGTGCCCCAGTCAGTGAAGGCTGTGAATTTGGCTTCCAGTGGGTAAAATCCTTGACAACAAACACATCTGAAAAGTAAGTTCATGTGAATAAAGGTGGAAAACAGTTCCTTGAGACTAGCATTGTATTCAAGAGACACTGTTCCACTGTGACTTTGTACAATTCCAACCCCACCACCCAAGTGCTTACTCTTGCATGTAAGAATTTCCCTTTCATTAGTATAATTTATGCTGTATACATTTGGGAACATTGGCCTTTGTTCAGTGCCAAGTATGGAATTAGATTTCCTTGGATGGTGGGAAGAAAAAAAAAAATCACACTAACAACAGTAATGCCACGCAGTTTGGGCAGTTTCAGCTTTTCAAGGATTTGAGCCAATCTTCATGAAAACTCATGTTTTCAAGTTGTGAAAACAAAGAAAGACATTAAGGGGACATTTTATTATAAGGGAGGAGGGGAAACCAACCTAAAGCATTTCTAAACCAGATGTTGTCATAGATACAGCTTTTAAGTACATGTCAAATACCACAAAAGTATGTTGACAGGCATTTGCTACTCAATAGTTAACTGGTGTGTACATCAGGTCTCCTATGATGATCAAAGCAAAAGACCTTTTCCTACTCCTATGCTTTTCTTCAGACTTTTACTTCTTATTTTCCCCCAGAGATGTGGCATTCTCACTGTTATTTGCCCCCACTTTCCAAATCTAGATGTAGCAACTACATGAAGTGCACGATTATCTTAAGTGTAATGTCTGGAAAGAATGAATGGCTGCTAGACATCATTTACTATAAGAAAGTGATGCTGTAGAGATTGAAAATCATTTTCCCATTCATCAGCTTTCTACCTCCCTGTGAACTAAATTATGTTCTCACACAAACTATAGGAAATGTGGTCTATAAAATACTGGTTAAGCCATTCTGAGTTACCATCAGCAAATATGATGAATACTCAGAGGTTCTCTACGGTTAATTGTGATGGCAAGCTCTATCAGACAGATGAAACAGTGGCTCATTCTCACTGAGGAGTTCATATTGACATGTTCCCAAACTTAAATTATTATAGTTAGCATCTGATCCTAGTTAAAGGACTCACTTGATTCCTTTATTTCAAAGGCTAAGTATTTAAAGCTATCATTAGGAAAAAACATTTTGAAGAGGATGCTGGAGAGAGAAAGGGTTTGCTGTCTTCCCATTTGCAGTGAGCAGCCATGCACTGTAACCAGTATTTGCTGTTACATGTACACAAGCCTATGGTTCTAAGATAGTAGCTTCACCTCCTGTTTCAACATCAAAAAACAGATCAGAAGTCAGGTCAAGCACTACTTCATTTCAATCTCGATGGTGGATTTGAATGGTTTAAATGTTACAAGCTATGCTCCAGAGCCCAAATAGGTATGTTTAAACATGAGTACAGACAGAATTTTGTGGAGAATACTGTTGGCATGCTGTATTGCATTATGTCCAAAACAACCCATTCCCAAATGCCCAAATAAAAGTAAATGATTGTGCATTGCATGATGATACCATTAGGTGTGCAACTTTGGTTCATGCAAAGTCTCGTTTTATGGAAACGCTGCTGATAGTCCATAGATTCCTGAAGATGCTGCACATGTGAGTGTCTCAGCAATGTTCTTTCCATAACACCAAATGGATACTATGGTCTGGCATACTGGTGGCAAAAACCAGGCCCATGTCATTTTGTCCATTAAGTCCATTTAACCAAGACATTTCACCAGCCAAAAAGCTTGAGCCTCTCTTAGATTTTCTGTACTCCGGTAGAGGCCAGCGGCTTATCAGTTTTTCTGTCCTCAAGTCCATTATATACAGGTATCTGTTATCAAACAGTAGAGCAAATATCTCTCCAAAGCCCAGCAAGGAAACATTTGAGAAGTCAGGAGGCTTGATAACCCTAGAATACAAGACAACATCGTATTAACAGATGGTACATTAGAATTAAACCTGGCAATATGCGTAGAGAAAGATGTTTACAGAATTTTCACCAATATTCAGCCTATATCTAAAATTATTAAAACTAGTATGTTCCACTTCTCATTTATTTAAATAGAAATATTAAATAAATATATATTCTACTTCTTATTTAAAGACGACTAAGTCTTAAACAAAGGTTTACCTGAGAATATCATAGCTGGCAAAGTCCCACTGGTATAATCCTAGGGCTGAACTGCACACTATGTATTTGCCATCAAAGTGCAGCCTGGGCTGTAGGGAGATGCTGCGATCCTCAGAAACAGACAGTGTTTTTAAGCATTTGCAGTTTATTTCCCTTCCAATAGGCCAAATCTACAATTAAAACAGAGTTTAAGGCCATAAAACATTCCTGTTATAAACAGTTACACAGAGCAAGCCTCACAGTCTCTCTTTAAGCATCAGGTAAATGTGTGCATGTTTCCTCAGAAGTACTTATTTCCTTTAGGGAGGAACATCAGTTCTGTGACTCATCTTACAGTGTTGTTGCAATATGTGATGTTTCTAGCCTAAAAAAAAACCCAGTGAAAATGGGCACTTTAAAGAACAAATCAACCATCCAATTGGACAAAAATGTGTTTCAGTTGTGGAGCACATCCATAGCCACAAACTACAGCACTCTCCCACCCAGAAGTCCCCAGCCGTAACAGTACTTGCAGTTAAGTGCTTTGCTGTCAAGATAGCACATTAAGCATGCACTGAAAGCACTTGTTTTTTGCATTACCATTCATGTAGAGCTGTGATTTAAATCTAAATGTGAAGGGAAGCATTGGAAGGTTCGCTTCCAAAGAGCTGCATGTCTTGTACACAACTTTACAAGCAGGGAATGCAGGAGAAAAGAAAGCTTTATATTATTTGTAAACTCCATCAAAGCACTCAAGCATTTCTCTCAGTACTGAAATGATGTATGTATGAGATATGGTACACACCTTGATTTCATACTTATCTGCACTTAGAAGAATATAATCCCCAGGACTATGCATAAGAGATTTGACTTTGCACTTCTGCAAAACTACCTGTAATTGAAGGATGTAACGATTTATGTTGATGCTGTTAAATAACCAGACTTTCATTTGCATTTTTCATTTAATTGACAACCTGTATTCTGTACTCTTGTACAAAGGCAACTGTAATACTTTTAGCTACTGAAGGGAACCTACAGTTTACACTCTTCTTGTTCCTACTAGTGACAACTTTATTAATAAGCAAACGTGTGCACTA